TTGATGTATCGATCTGGTTCTTGCGTAGAACGATTAGCTATACAGAAAAGACTAACACTTACAAAAATTAAATCGTTCTGACCATGGTAAGTGCCTCAAAATTGGTCGACAAAAAACTGTATCACAGCGTTACATTTGCTTTTTGCATTTTTTATCTAAGTAAAAATAGTTCAGAGGAAATTTTTTTAGCGTTTAGAAGCCCGTTCAAAGCTTTACAAACCTGGCTCTAGAAGTGCTTAATATGGAGTAACATTTTTACAAGAAGTTGCAGTTTTCTTAGCGGCTCTGAAGAAAAAGGGCCTTTTTATGTCACAGTGTTACGGAACCAAAAACCCTTTCTCGAAGCTCGAGACTTTTATCGAAAAAAGTCATTTTTATGGCATAAATAGAGTTTGACAAGCTGTGTCGAATGGTGTTTGAACGAAGTTTTTAGCTCTCATAGTTTCAGAGATAATGCAGAAAAAGTGTGTCAAAAACGTTACAGCGTTACGTTTGGACAAGCCGCAAGCTAAACTTGTATAAGGGTGTTGATGTGGGTTAGTTTTCGTTTGTGCACCCACATCCCATACCCCACCCACTACCATCCTCATCCTCACCCACACCCACACCCCACACCCCAATTCACATTTGATGATAAGAAACCATTCAAATGGATGTCTGATTCATAGTTGGTTTCATTCTCCGACAAAGATGAAGAGAATGTAATTGCATCAAAGAGTAGCAATGCCAACACGCGATGATTACTCATATACGCACATCTTTGAAGTTTAAAAAAATCATTGCAGCAACAGGCAAACACAAGTCATCGGTGTACAACTCAATTTTTTTTGTATCTACAAAGAACTTAGAGAAACAATCTTCTGCATACAATTTTGTCTACATTTATACGAATTGAATCATGACCAATGTTTACGAAGCAATGCTAAAGGTCTCTTTTGTATTCATCAATAATCGATGTATCATAGGATTTTTTTATAGGAAGCTGTTTCTTATGCAAAGCAAGCTGTTGAAGAAGACCGGGCAAATAATTACGAAGTAGCTTCACAACACTACTTGGCTGCTTCCCGTTGCCTGATATCAGTGATCAAAGGTAAATGATAGACGAAACTTTTGATAAAGTTGACTGATGCATTCTTCAGAAAAAGAAATCAACACAGAAATTAAACGGATGCTACGAACCAAGATTGAGTCATATTTAAAGAGAGCTGAAAAAATTAAAAAACTGACGAAAACGACGGGAACCGAAATGACCGATGATCGTCATTTAATGACTGAAGATCCTGTGCAACAACAATCTTTACAACGGCTTAAATGTTCGTTTTTAATATTCGCTTTTCTTTTTCTTTCTAAACAAAGTGTTAGACTGTTTAGCGGCAATCGTCACAGAGAAAAATGTTTCATACAGTGATATCGTTGGCATGGATAAAGTCAAAAACTATCTCAAAGAAACCATTAGACTATTCATTGAATCACCAACAGTTTCCTTGATGATCGGTATACCCCAACCACTCTCTATTCTACTTTATGGAGTAAATAATTGAACTTGATTTGTAGTTTTGAAGATTTTTGTTAATTTAGCTACCTGGCACAGGCAAAACCTATTCGGCCAAAGCAATTGCTACCGAATGCAATTGTACATTCATTTCGGTTGATTCATCAGATTTTATTTCTGGGTGGCAAGAAAATAGCGAAAGAAATTTTAGATATTTGTTTGGATTTGTTCGTACACGACAACCTGCCATCGTCTTTCTCGATGATATAGACACTTTTGATGCACAAGGCCAAGAGAGTGAGTCCGAATGTTTGCGACGTGTCAAGACTGAGCTCTTAGTTCAAATACACAGTAGGTCATTTGTGTTTAATGAGATATAGAGATCGAACTGATTTAATAAACACATTTTTGTTTTGGTCAGAAATACTAATCGATGATTCTAAAATATTGATTTTGGCAGCATCTAGTCGACCTTGGGATCTGTGTTCTGCATTTCGACGGCGGTAATAATCGGTATGAATCCTTTTTTCTAGAAGTTCTTTTTCTTCTCTAGTCTTGCAAAGCGTCTCTACATTCCGCTACCTGATTTGAACACGCGATTGGCCATATTCAAGACCTGTTTCAAAGATCCAAATTCACATCAAATTCAAGATAATGAATGGATGGAACTGGCTGAAAGAACCGATCGGTAAGTTGGACCTGGATCATCGTTCAAGATGAAAACATAACCTGTCCGTAGGTATTCTATTTCGGATGTTATTTCTGTTTGCCGAGAAGCTCTAATGATTCCTGCTCGGCGTATCATTGATGAAACCCATTCCAAACGAATATTGTAGTCCGCGGGAGAACGCAATCTGGAAATACCATGTTCAGTTGATGAGGTGAGCGCTCAGTCACCCATACTAGACAATATCAAACTCGATGACCTGTATTCGACACCAGTAACTCAAGTGAGTGATTGATCAACTAGTCGATAAGAACTCATAATGACCAAAATCTACTTTCCGGAAGATATAATTGCTGTATTAATGCAACAAACGTCAAGTGTTAATGAATTTGAATTGACACAGATAGAAAATTTCCGTCGTAATTATGGCGAAGTAGAGATTTAGAACTGTCTATAATTCAGTCTTTTGAAAATGAGAAAATGATTCGATACAAGTCATCTGTTATTAAATGGTTGTTTCTTTCTTACTCTTTGAACGAATAATCAAATATTCAAGCCAAATGAATATATAACAAGAACATAGTTATGTCGAACTTCTCAGAAGATGCAGAAATTTTATTAAATCATATAAGTAGAATATCGAAGTATCTTTCCTGATTCGGACTTACTTGTATCGGTCAAGATGAATGTGATAAATATTGAAAATTTCTTTCTTTTCATTATGAGAAAGGATCGACAGTAGTACAGAATCTGCATAAATAACTTTTTTCTTTCTTTTAAACAAATGATATCATAACGAATAGCTGATTACTACAATCAAGTTGTCCAAGATATTGATTTCGTAAATCAAAACAAGGTCATCATCTGCAAATATTCTTGCTTTAATGAATTCTAGTTTTGAAAGTAGACAGACAGGGTACCTAAATGCGCGTTGACCAGACTCAATTAAAGTAAAAAAAGCTATTGTCGATCATTCTTGGATCATAGTATACCCATTAACTGGAAGAGCATCAATATCTAAGAGTTAACAATATGATCTAGATTTAGGTGTGCCAAAATCTCAAATTTTCATATTAGTTACAAGTGTGGGTGGGTGTGAGTGTGGGCATGGATGTGGTTGTGGGCGTTGATTTTCTCTTCCATTCACACCCACATCCACCCTCGACCAAATCCAATGTGATTATGTCCTAGAGCATAGAACTACTGATGTGATGACATTCAATAAGGCACTAAGCAGACGTGTATTTATATACAGTGTACAAAGATATATGATAGTTGGTGATTATTCTCTTCAAATTTATCAAAAAACTGTCTAGAAGTACAAAAATCTTCAAAAAAATGCCAGTTCAAAAAATGTTTTTCGTTTTTTCTCAGTTTGCGATTTTTTGATCTTTTGTCCAAGGTTTTTCGATCCAGGCTCGTGCAACGCGTTAAATTTTTTTTGTTTGAAAGAGTGCGTCAAGATGCAGGGCACCACAGAGTGCTTTTTTAAATCAAGCTTTATTTTTTATTATATATACAGATATTTATGTAACTAGACACCCATTTTTGGCGCCTCTTTTGAGTCATTGAACTTGTGATCCCCTTTTTCCGCTAAACAAGTAAGAATTTTAAAAAAAAGACTCCGTGATGCCCTGCATCCGACATACTCTTTCAAACAAAAACAAATTTAAATATATTGACAGAGTCTGGACCGAGAAATCTTGGACAGAAAATGAGCTATTTTTTTTAACCCTTGTTTGGTCCATATCTCTGTCAAACGTCAGAGTATCTAGCTGAAAATTTTACCACAACCTCCACACTTCAGCCCCAACATATACTCCAAATTTCAGCCCATTTGAACATACCTGGGCTGAGATCGATTTTTGAGGAGGGGGGAGGGGGAGGCTTAAGATGAAAAGTGCTTTTGTGTATTTTATAAAGTGAAAAAGTGCTCAAATTTACTTAAAAAAGTGAAAAATAATAAATATTACTTTATTTCACTTTATTAATATCAATAGTACTTATGAGTGATTTTCTCCCACTTTTTTACATGGGTTGGAGACAATGACGTCCATCAATTACATGATCCGGATGACTAATACAGACTGCAACGTATTCCAGACTAGTCGCGTAGTAGGAGTTTTTGAGAAAAAGACTAGACCGGACGTGCAGTCACGACTAAAATTCGACTAGTCTTTTTACCCGTCTTTTGCCTACCTGAGTTCTCAGACATGTTTTTTGTCATTCTTTCAGCCATTCTAACTTATAATCATGTGTCGTATGTATGGAGTGCAACAGAAAAGAGCAAGTTTTTATCGATTTGAACGAACTTGATTACAAAATGGGGAATTTTTTTCACATGAAAAGATTTGAATAGTTCATAACACAAGTAAAACCAAATCTACGAATATATGTTACAATAACTATTCGTTTCATTAACTTTGAAATATTTTATATCTCGTTTCATCACCTACATAAAATTTTAGTTATCTCGAGCAATATTCTACTAAGTTATAGCTTGTTACACAAAGAATTACTTCGGTTTTCGATATTATGTGATTCATATATCTGTATGTGTAAGATAAAAAAAGAGGTAAATCGATTCACTGATACAATATTGTTTCGATTATGATTTATTTGTACATTAGTTATAAAAAGAGAGAAAATAAACAATAATGAAAGCCTGGTTTCATTTAAAAAAATAATTGTTTATTATGTCTATTTTTGAAACAGATCTTAACAGTTAATAAAGTATTAATTATTATTTCTTGTGTGCGAGAGTAAATGAATTCGAAATTAGTATTTATAGAATATCCATAGGAAATGAAAATGAAAACAATAATTGTTCAAAATCAGATTTTACTCATTATCGAAATTTTTATATGAATATTTGATATCAAATTTATGTTCATGACCCTTTTTTGGTCCACCGCTACTAATAAATTTTGAGAAATCATATGGTAATTTTTTTCGATAATCATCTTTATCTTTTTCTGTCATATGAATAAATTCAATATCCATATGTTGAATAATTAATGCTACTAACATTTTTATTTCATTCATAGCCCAAAACCGTCCAGGACACGTATGAGTTCCACAGCCAAATATCATAATTGATGGTGCTTTCGCTTGATTAGGTTTTTTGACAAATCGATCATATTTATATCCATAGGGATTTGAACCAAATAAATTTGGATCAAGATTTTTTAAAAATGCTGGATATACAAGCATATCACCTTTTCGTAAGCCAATTTTTGTTTTATCTAAACATTCAATTGTTGTATCTACCATCGCTTGTCGTGTTGAAGTGGCATTACGTACGCGACGCATTGATTCATTTATACAACTTTCTAAGATTTTTAAGTTAGATAATACGTCTTTATCATATATTAATATTGATGATGATGAGATATTTTCATTTAATTCTTGTTTAACAGCTTCTAATGCTTGTGGATGAAGTAATAAATCAACTACTGACCAACAGGCCATTGGTGCTGTATTAGATACAGCTGCCCATAACATACTTGCTTGAAGTCCATTTATATCATATTCACGAAATAAATGTTTATATTCATTACTACGATATAATTCTTCTCGGGCATTTATTAATTTTGATTCACCATTATTTAATTTTAAAAAAGAAAATTTCTTTATAAATTCATTTCTATTATGCAATATTGTTTTATAAAGTATAGATCGAAATGGTATATTCATAAAACATAATTTATAAGCTTCATCAAAATCTTGAAATAATTTATAAAAACTGGGTGTAGTATTTTGTTGTTTACTAGTAAACGAATGTCCAAATAAACCTTCTGCACCAGCAAATAACATAAATTCACCAAAAAAATCAAAAAAATTAACTATTTTATTTTTATTATTTGTTAGAAGGTTTGCATCAAATTTCATTGATTGTATGAGAGAATCATGAACAAGTTTATTTAAAATTTCTAATTCATCACCAACTAAATAATGATGAAATTGTTTAACTTGTAATTCTTGAATTTTTTTATCTGTTAAACATTTACGATTAATATCAAGACCTTTAACTAGAATGTCTGTTAAAAAATCGTCAATAGATAAATCAGATGATTTAATTACTTTTGTTAAATATGTTTGTTCATCAAATAAATAAACCCAACGTTTTGATCCTAAATAAATAACAAATGTTTTTCCATATTTTAAATATAATGAACGAATAAATTCAATTGGATTTTTCAATATTTCAAATCCAAAACCAATAATTGGTAGATATGAATGAATATATTTTGGTTCATGAGGAACATAATTGAATAAATTATCAATTAATGGTTTAACAAATATATATGTTATTAATGCAACAATAATAATTGTAAATAATATTAACAACATTTCTAAGAAAGAAAAAACAGAGAGATTTGAAATAATCGGTCGTCTTTTCAAGATAGGAGCATTAAAAAATCAGTATTTTGAGTATTTCTAAAATGTCCTTTTCGAAGATATTTCGAGCCGCTATCGATTGTCTTATAAATAGAAACAATCTAGTTACGATACATATTGACAGATATCAAAAGGTTGAATTAGAAAATGACTGAAAAAGTTTTGAGTTGGTTGTCTATACTGCGATCAATGGTTGATAAGTAGATAAAAGGTTGTGTAAGATTCTTTACTTGAGATTAAGAAAATATTGTCCGTTTTGTTAGGTTAATAACCGAAGTTTTTCGTATACTAACTAAAGAACGGTAGATTCTAATAGTATTTTTATTGAGCTACTCGATGATGTACTCACTTTGATACGAGACTTGGGTGAACATGGATTTCGTCAAGAGTGTTTCTTTTTAGACTCAAATTCTAACTATAAATCCTGAAAGATTGTATGGGCTTAGAAAATTAAATGACGAGATTTATCAATCTGTATAAAAATCTTGATCGATACTCTTATCTGATTGTATCGATGTTATATAACGTTTCTACTTTTTTTCTGAATAGGAGACTATGTTTCCGATAAAACTTATTTTCATTACAATTAACAAAAGATCTTGTAGTATACTTAGTTACATTAACAAATAGAAGTTAATTTATTTAATCGTTCAAGCAATTATACTATTTGTATTTACATACTATTCGATGATGATGAAATGTATTTCTTAATACACGTTGGCAAGAAAGAAAACGTCTTCAACGAAGCAAATGAAGCAGGAGTAATGATGCATGACTCTCTATCGAAAATATGAATAATATTTTCTTATTGATTTCACGTGTTGTGGTTGTCATAAAACAAGAATAGCAATGATAAAAGTTACCATGTGCTTTATTTCACTTTGCCTTACACCTAATAAAACATGTTGTTTTTGTTCAGATTTTCTGTCCAGTGTTTCTTATGATTGTTTGTCCCCAATAGTTAAATTTTTCAATCGAAATTAAAGTTTTAGAAAAATGATAGAATAACCAATAATATTCACGTTTTAGTGAAGTTGTATATAGGTAATACAGTTATGATATATGTCATTATGGAATATTTAACACGTTCGGTATTTTTGCTTTTTGTATTCAATCAAGTTGACAGTAATCTTTTTGCAGCAAGACTGTAAGTATCTTCTTTGAACAAGAAAGATTTGACAGTATCTAATGAACAGAAAGTTAACCACGAATTTTAAATTTGATTGAACTCAAATCAGTGCTGCCACCTTTTGAAGTCCAAAAAGCAGAAAATGACAGATGTTTTATCATTGGAAAGCAAAAAGAAAGCAGAAAGTATGTTTATGATATGAAACTAACCGGTGACCCATTATAAACGAGGGTCTCAGTATTTGTTAATATCTTAAGCGTTACCTTATCGCTCACGCTTTACTTGTTTTATCAAAAGATTTACCGTCTGCTTCTGCATAAATTGCATATTTCGTTGTAAAAATACTTATCTCTTTCTCTTTCAACATCACCATGATTTAAAACCAACATTACACACAACTTTCAAAATTTTCATTTTTTTTTCAATTTTTTTCGTAAAGATTCAGTCTTTGGATTAGTCTTATTATCATTGATTGTGGCATATTCTTTATTTAGCAATGGAATAAATTGCCTTTGGTACGTTGATTGAAATGAACTAATTTATCTCTTGAGTAGCGAACGCATTATACCCAAAGTAATAGGATTAATTGAGGAACTGGATATTTTTGAAAACAAATTGAAACAAATGAAGATTTTGAAAGTTGTGTGTAATGCTTGTTTTAAATCATGGTGATATCAAAAGAAAAAGAGATAAGTATTTTTATAACGGAATATGCAATTTGTGCAGAAACAGACGGTAAATCTTATGATAAAAAAAAAGTGTGAGCGATAAAATAACGTTTAAGATGTTAACAAAATACTGACACCCTCTTTTATAACGGGTCATCCGTTAGTTTTAAATTTTTGTTTCAGTATACTAATCACTCTCATTGTATGGCATCACGAAACACAACTAATTAACAAATAGACAAAATCGTTGAACACGTTTTCCTGTTAAAGAGTATTCTTTATCTGATTTAAGAGCTTTTGACAAATCTTGTTTACCTAATAAATATTTATTCATTCCAGTATAAGATAAGCAGAAATTCAAAGTAATTGTTGATTAAATCACAAGATTTAAAATTTTATTGTTTCTGATTGTTCATAAGATTATCAATATTAGCTTTTTATTAGTAATGTTCGGAGAACTATTGATGACGAACAACAAATGTTGACTGAGACGGATCAAATTTATATTCTTTTAAAGATCATTAATATTCGACGACATTGAACCATTCTCTGTTGAAGATAACTCTAGTCAATTTCTTTTTTCTGGTTTAATTCCTGATGACATAATTATTTCTTCAGCAACTACTACTGCTTCGTTAATACTTTCTTCGCTAGTCGAGCTGCAATGATCATCTAGAGCTGTTTTTTCTGTTCCTTTACTCTCACTAATCATATCAATTATTCATATTCATTGAGTGAACAAGCGAAAGAGTGTATATGTTGATGTATATGAATTACATGAGTAATTAAAAATACTATAGAAAACCATAGATAAAGAATTGATTAGAAACCAAGGATATACATTGGTAGTTGCTTGTAGTCAGTAGAAAATAAAACTTATCTGTATAGAATAGAAAGAATTAGAATAGCACAAAAATATCGGTAGTTTATGATATGGTTTTTTTTTATAATTATGGAAACGAAGATAATTCAGATGAAAGCTATTGATTAAAATAATAAATAACACAAGATCAAAAAAGTAGAAAAATCTTCAAAAAGCAGAAGAGGTGCCAGCTTTGACTCAAATAGCCTTACAACAATCGTCTTCCACGTCGCTTAGAAACAATCTAACAATAAAAAAATCAAAACAAGAAGAAGAACAATTAGAAATTGTTTTATAAGAATATTAAATCAATATTTTTATGCAATTATATTTATCCTAGTCATTGTATTCTAATCTTACCATTGAACTGCAAATTAAAGTTTATTGAGGGCAGTTGTAAATCCTGATCCTATCATGTGAATGTCATATTGAGCTATGAATGAAAGTTTTGTATTTGTAAAATCGTTCTTGGTTTTTTTTATTATTTATTTTTAAATTGATCATAAGTTCATTTTCGAATCAAAAATAAAACATACATTCTTGTTGATTTTACATGAAACTCAGCGGATTTAGATGGTATGATCGTTAAATAAAGTGAAAACTTTGATTTGTACTAAGAGTTGATACATAATAATAATAATAACTGGATCATGCATATGCACTTATAATCATCTAAGTATTGCTTGTGAATAATAGATTTGAGATATTCACCTAAACAAAATAGAAGCATACAATTAGAAAATAATTCCATGTTTGAAATGATCTAAGATATGATATTACCGAATAAAATATCATGATCTTCACAGTAGATATATAAAATCAAAGAAATCTGTGGGTGTTTGACGTGAAATAAAAATATTATAATATAATTCGTTTACATCGAGTTATTAGCCTTGTACATTTCACAAAGGTAATAAGTCAAAGAAATTGTATGTTCTTGTGCTCTTTATATTCCTACTAATGTCATACGTGTTGTAAAAACTTAGGTAGCATTTTATTTTCATAGTAGAAAGTAGATCTGATCAGATGTCGGTGTGAACTAAAGTTCAGAATTCTTTCCTTATTAAGAAGGCAAGACATTGAATACTATATCAGCTCTTTATGTTATCACTATTTTAAATAATACTGAGTTTAAGAATAACCAGCTATGACCAGTTTCAATCTTGCTTAAGGATCTCATCAGATCGCTGCTTATTCTTAATGTAGTCATATATTTAATACTATATCTCCTATATTCTAGGGGCTGGTTACAGTCTCCATGTCATTCTATGATGATGAATTTGAATGATGTCGTCTGATGAGACCCTTCACCAAGGTTGAAATTGGTCATGGATGCTTATCCTTAATCGTTATGATACATGGGTGTGTATTTAAAAACTTAGGGAAATACTTTTTAACTATTAGCATTGCCTTTAGGCAAGCAATATGGACTAAATATGTTCGATTCTAATAGAAACATCTTCAGGGTGTGGGTGTGGGTAAAGATTTAAACATACATTCACATCCACATCCACATCTTTTTTAGAGAGTGATACATAAACTGTAGCTCTCCGACCATAACCTCGGGTTGGGTATATAGTGTGAGTGTACGAATGTTCTTCTCAAACTAGGAAGCAAGTTCACTCACACCAACATTCACATCCTCTAGCCATGATCGAACTTAAAGGGAGATGGTGCTGATTGCAACTAAATAATGAAGAATGAAAGAAGTTAAAGGAAATCACAAACATTAAAGCACATAAAACAATCAGTCATGAGCTACAGTTTGCCGGATCGAACTACTTTGGTATGGGAAAAAATATATAGAACATTGACGAACGAGTAACTTGAGAGGTGTAGAACAGAAGAGAATTGGACAAACATATTGCTAATGTCGAGATACCAACACGTTGCCCTTTCACTTTGCCCATCCAATTTGTTATTATTCTTACGATCTATGCACATACAAGATATTACAAAATCGTTGAATAGTACGTTGAATCATTGTAGTTAATTCATCTTTGTACTTTTTTGATGGTAATATAAATACTATGAATGTCATCATGGATGGAATAAAAGAGATCAAATAACCAAAGAGATATAACCATGGATTTCGGGGGGATTTCATACATCCGCTAATAAATGACATGATTAGACGAGGTAAAGCCAATAATACTAATACACATGATGCGAATAGATGATTTTTATGTGCTTTAATGT